TGGGGTCAGTCCTGGCTGCATCCCAGTATTGCCGGAATGTTGCTCCAAATAAATGAATATATTTCCTTTGAAGTTTGGATCATGGCTCATGAATTAATTAGGGCAACTTTCAGAAACTTGACCGAAGAGTTGTGCCCTGGGCGTTTTACTTCAAAAACTGGGCCCCGAAAGAGTTCCTGTGGCTTACCTTTCAAAAATCCTAGATCCAGTGGCCAGAGGCTGGCCAGCCTGTCTCCGATCTGTTGCAGCCACAGCCATCCTCATCCAGGAGACTCACAAAATAACTTTGGGGGGTCCTCTTAATGTATATATGCCTCATTCAGTTCAAGCTCTCCTCGAACAGAAACTCCCAGCATGGGCCACCTCATGCCAGATTTCTAAGTATGCAAGCCAGATTTTAGAATCCGACTCTGTTCAGCTTCATAGATGTGAAAGGCTGAATCCAGCTACCCTTTTGCCTTGCCCCCCCCCCCCCCGAAGATGGTCCACAACATGACTCTTTAGCCGTCTTGGAATCTGTGGTAGGCATTCGTGCAGATCTTAGGACTGAGCCTTTTGACAATCCCGAGTCCCAACTCTGGACTCTGATGGCTCCTCTTTTGGAAAAAGATACACAGGACTGGCTGTAGTTTGCAGAGATGGCCCCCTCCTCCTACGACAACTCCCCTCTCACTGGTCTGCTCAAGCGGCTGAGCTTTTAGCCTTGATTGAGGCATGTCATCTGTCAGCTGGGCTACGCACTAATATCTATACTGACCGTCGTTATGCATTTTTGGCTGCACACACTCATGCCGCTCTCTGGAAGGCTCGTGGCTTTACTGGTGCAGATGGGAAAAGCCTAAAGATGAAGCCCTTGCTAGAAAAACTTGTCACAGCCGTCAGACAGCCATCTCAGCTAGCTATCATTCATTGTCGAGGACACCAGACAGACCACAGTGAAATCTCTCGTGGGAACCGGGCTGCTGACTATTGGGCCTGCCAAGCTGCTGAGTCAGACCCTGCTGTCAATCCCAGGAACCTCTCAGCTTTGCTTCCCTGTGACCCCACGCAACACCTTCCTGCCCTATATGACACTAGGGACCAGCTACACCCTGATGGCAAGTGGTGAGATGGGTGGTGGGTTGTTCAGAACAGAATCCAGCCCCTTCAACAAATTGTGTGGAAACTTGTTCAACGAGCTCATCGCATGTCTCACAGGGGTCCTCGCCCACTCCAGAAGTGGCTCACATCCCGCTATTGCAATCCAAACTTGCGTGGCTTTTGCAAGGCTGTTGTTTTCTCAATGTGACATCTGCCAAAGGAACAACCCCGAGGGGTCAGTCCGCTTCCTCTCGGTCGTCTCCGAACTGCCCAATACCCAGGGAGGCTTGGCAAGTGGACTTTACTGAACTCCCAAAAAGGAGAGCAAAATCTAACCTTCTTGTATTTGTGGATTTATTCACTGGATGGCCAGAAGCCATCCCTACCTCACCCAAAAAGCCAGAGAGGTGGTGAATGCCTTAGTTGATCACATTATCCCAAGATTTGGGGTCCCTCAGGGTCTTGAGTCTGACAATGGCAGGTATTTCACCTCACAGGTTACTCAGGATGTCTGTTAGGGTGTGTGTAAAAAGTATTTGTTGCTTGTGCAACGAGCAGAGCAGAAACACACAGGGAAGGAGATAAACGTGCAGCTCGTGTGAGAAAAATACTTTATATACAAGATAATAAGCAGTCTCGGTGTAGTAAAACAGTCCAAGGTCATAAACAGTAATATCAGTCCAGTAAGTATCTTCCCTTACCAAAGCAAACAGACTTTAGTAACTCTCGGTATACAGTACCATATAACAATCCAGTCTAACACTAATCAGCAGAAAGACGCAGGAAGCAACAGGAACAGGTACAATCAGGAACAAAGAACGCTTCTCTGCGCTGCTTATGTATGCACTGTAGCCTAATTACAGGGTTCAGCAAACCCTGATTACGTGGCTCAGTTGTTTCTTAAAGAAACAGATATATTGCCTGACCAACAAGTTAGGAGTAAGCTACAAGCTGAACCTAACAATGTCAATAAGTTTTTAGGCATCCCTTGGCACCTCCACTCTGTTTACAGACTGCAGGCTTCATCGAAAGTGGAACGTTTGAACAGAACCCTGAAAACACACTTGTCCAAATTATGCCAAGAAACCCAACTCCCCTGGCCTAAGGTACTACCACTAGCCTTAGCAAGAATTAGAGCCCTGCCTTCAGGGAAATTAGGATTGTCACCCTTTGAAATGATGTATGGGAGACCCTTTGTTGCTTCTGCCCTGCCAGATTCTAGTGAAGACGAAAGAAATATCACCTCATATTTGCATAATATGGCGCAGGTATTGTCCTCTATCTCTAAACAGGTCCAGTCCGCTTTACCTCCAGCTGCTGACGTGCCACCATTGGCTGAACTGGGCCAGTGGGTAAGGATCAAAGAACTCTCTCCCACCTGCACCCAACCCAAGTGGTCTACACACCGTCAGGTTCTTCTGAGCACCCCCACGGCTGTGAAAGTGGACGGTGTCAAAGCGTGGGTCCACGCATCACGAGTCAAGCACGTCCCCGAGCCCTCTGAGCAGTGGCAAGTCCAACAGCTGGAAGGACTCAAGCTGAAACTTCACCATTCCCCAGCATCGCCTGCTGACCTGTTCACTGATGAACTGGATAGACTGGACACCCATTTGAATATATTTGGTTTGCTGGTTTTGTTGTCTTTGCTGTTTTTCTGCTCTGTTGCTGCTGGTTTCCCCATACATTCTTTGGAAAAGGTGGCAATGGCTCTGACCTTTATTTTGGTTCCACCACTTGTCTCAATGTTTTTGATCCTCGGGACTTCTATACGCGCAGCCAAACTCTTCTGGTCCCAGTGTGAACAATGTTTGGTTACCATTCGCCACGGCAATCAAGTTACCAAAACTCTTGTCTATCACTCTCATTATGATTGTCAGGACAGCAATCACACATTTTGTGTCCACAACACTACTACCTATGCGATCTGTCCTAATAACGGAAAACCCATATGTTTTAACCCCCAGGGTTCCCGTTTCCTCCTGAAACATCCTGAACATTGAGGTTTATTTATTTTATTTATTTATTTATTTATTTATTATTTATTATTATTGTATGCCGTCCTCTCTCCAAAGGACTCAGGGCGGCTCACAACAATAAATACACAAATTCAATTATAAAATATAACAAATATAAGAACCCATTAAAATCACATTTAAAACCCCTTCAGTCCAATCCGGCCAGGCCAAATAGCCATGTTTTAAGATCACGGGGGAAGGAGCGAAGGTCAGGAGCCACCCGGAGCTCCAGGGGGAGCTGATTCCACAGAGTAGACTCTATATAAAGCCAGACTAGTAGCTCAGGGATTTGCACAGAAATACCCTGATGACTATACAGACACTTACTCACCCACAGTTAGGGCTGAAAGCGTCAAGAGTGCTCTGGTAATAGCATCCATTCTAGGCCTCGAAGTATACCAATTTGACGTACAGACCGCCTATCTCCACGCAGAACTAGATAAAGAATTTTTGTCAAAGCATCCCCGGGGAAAGATACACAAAAGGGAGATACCTGGCTGTTGAATAAAAGTTTGTATGGCCTGAAGCAGTTTGGAAAGAGGTGGTAGCAAAAATTCTCAAAGACATGGGTTTCACAGCCACTTCTGCTGATCTCTGCTTCTTCATGAAGAAAGAAGGCGCATCTATTGAGTACGTGCTCGTTTATGTGGACGATATATTATATTTTGGCCAACATAAACATAAATGCGATGAGTTTTTCAAATACAGATTTTTCCCCCCTTTTCCCCCCCTCCTCCCTAAACCCCCCCTCCCCCTCCCCTCCCCCCATGGCTTCTTCAAAATAAAATCATTGATATCAAATTAAATAATACTTTACCATCCTTTTACCACCCCCCACATGCTAACCATTTCTTTCTAACATTGTTATTATATCCCCCTTATACTATACATTTCAAAGCAACCTTCAGCTATAAAACTATATAATAAATCCTAATTTGGCATTTATTCAACTCATAATCTACCCATTTCCTCCACCCCCATACATATATCTCTTAATTCAAATCTTTTACGTATATTAATATCTGAACCTAACATCCCTTTTCCTAAACTAAACAATCAATAACCTAACCTATCTCCACCCATTTTCCTACCAGTCTACCATACATAATATTTTAATATCTTTATTCTTCTGCCCACACCACACCACTAAAAAGTATTTCCATATATAAACAAAATCCTCAAATGACTTTAAGTTTGTAATCCATATGATATCTTCTGTAATGTCTTTCAGCTAGATTATTAATTCCATCACCCATGTTAGGGTAACATCAAGTTCTATTTCCAACAGTATATTCAGTATCTTCATTACCATCTGCCCCCATCAATAATAAATGTTTTCGTATATAAAAAACCACCCAAGTGACTTTATATTTATATTCCATATAATATCTTCTGTAATGTCTTTCATCTAGATTATTAATTCCAACCAACATGTTAGGGTAACAACCAGATCTTCTGCATGCCCCACCATATTTCTCGTGCCTTATAACTCAACATATAAGTAATCCATTTTTCAAAGAGTCCAAAATAAACTCCAGAGAACCTATCCTAACCTGTTATGCGGATGCCGACTGGGATGGGGACACGAAGAGCAGGAAAAGTACCTCTGGCTACATATTCTTCATCAACAACTGTCTGGTGCATTGGTATACCGGAAAACAAAATTTGGTAGCTACATCCACAGCAGAAGCAGAGTACAGCTGTCTGTCAAAAGCAGCCAACAACTTAACATGGTTCGATGACCTGCTTTCCAATATCTGGACTGAACCAGCCTACCCAATAATTATACATGAAGACAATAAAGCGGCTATAGACATATCCATGGCAGACGCTGTGGGTCAAAGATCAAGACATATAGATGTCAAACACAAACACGTTAGGCAATTATCAAACATTGGCTTCCTCAAAGCCATACCCTGTGAGACTGTTGAACAAATTGCGGACATCCTGACCAAACCCTTACAGAACAAACAACACGCTTATCTAACTTCGAAATTAGGTGTACATATGCAACACACACACATCTCCAACTGTTAGGCATTTAGAGGGGGATTTGTTACATACAAATGCCTAACACTGTGCACCCATGGCAGGGCAAGGGTTAACACTATCCATCCCACCTAGTCTTTCCCTTGACCCCTCCTCACCTTGACTCCGCCTCCCAGGTATATCAGGTATTGTCCAAGAGTCCAACGCCATTCCAGATGCTCACCTGTAAGAGATAAGTAAGTTGTAAAGATCTAAAGATTTGTGGGGCAATTAGGCATCGTGGGAATCAACTTGTCGGTGAGTATCTTCTTAATAATCCAAATAACCTTCTCCAAACCCTAAAATAAGACCATTTGGCTCATGAATGAGATGCCTTTTAGAGCATGTGCAGAGGGCATCTTTGGTGACAGGATGAACACTGACTTACATTTTCACTTTAGAAACTGTAAGTCAGAAAAATTAGGCAGAAAAATAGGCTGTTTATTTTTTGCTTTGCTGCTATTGGGATGTATTTTTTTAGACGGGCATAAAATACAAAAATTTAAAATAGAATAAAAACGAATTAAATAATTTGGCTGAGACAAATTAAAATACCCAATAATTTAAAAAACAAATTAAAATTTACATTTAAATTTACATTTAAAATTTACATTTTTGTAATGGAGCCGAGGCTTCTTCGGTTGGGGGTGGGGAGGGGAGAGAAGGGAAGGGGGGGGCTTCTCTCAGGAAGAGCAATTGCTAACTTGCCACCCAAAGTCACGAGCTGCCAAAGACTGAAGTTCCTCAAATGATTTGCTCTCTTGAAAAAGTGATGGGGTGGTGTTTTTTTTCCCAGTTGGCTGAGGACTAGCATCTTAGATACTTCTCCCTGTCTGCCTTCTCCTTCTCCTCCCCGTTGATGTTCCTTTCTTCCATCCCAGTTCTTTCCTTTTTTCTCCTTTCAACTCCTCCTTCCCTCCCTCCCTCCCTCCCTTCTTTCTTTTTCCTTTCCTCTCTCTTTCTCATCCTTTCTTCTTAAACTCCAGACTGACCGACTTACCTACCTTCCTCCCTCCCTCCTTCCCTTCCTTTTCCTCTCTCTTTCCCATCCTTTCTTCTTAAGCTCCAGACCTTCCTTCTTTCATTTTCCTTCTTCCCTCCCATCCTTCTTTCTTTAACTCCAGACTTTCCTTCCTTCCTCAGACCTTCTTTCTTTCCTCCCTCCTCCCTCCTTTTCTTTCTCCTTCCCCCCTCTCTTCCTCCTCCCCCTCCCCCTTACTAATAAAGGAGAAAATATTCTCCTTTATTAGTAATTAGTCAATTAGTATGTCCTGACTAAGTAGCCACGTTTAAGAAACACTCTTCTAATCAGTGGTGAAATGTAAAATTCGTTGCTACTGGTTCTGTGGGCATGGCTTGGGTGGGCGTGGCTTAGTGGGGGTGTTGTGTGACTGGGTGGGCGTGGCCAACTTTTTTTTTTTACTTTTTTAAAGCATTTTTTTACGACCGGTTCAGGCAAATAGGTAGTAAAAAAATGCTTTAAAAAAGGGGAGCCGACGATCACAGCTGTGATTGTTGGATAGCATTTCACTCCTGTTTCTAACTGATTGCTCCGACCCCCTGCATGTCCTGGAAAACAGACCAGGGGTGGGTTCTAAATTTTTTTCCTACCGGTTCTGTGGGTGTGGCTTATTTTGTGGGCGTGGCTTGATGGCCGTGTGACAATTCTTTAGGATTTAGCAGAGGTACTGGTCTACCAGGCTTTTAACTGCTTGTAGAGCTGTACCGGTCTACTCATTTGTTTTTGGAGGCACCCGGTTTTACCCATTTATTTTTGGAGGCACTGGTCTACTCATTTAGTTTTGCAGGCACCGGTCTACTCATTTGTTTTTGGAGGCACCGGTCTTCTCATTTATCTTTGCAGGCACCGGTCTACTCATTTGTTTTTGGAGGCACCGGTCTACCCATTTATTTTTGGAGGCACTGGTCAACCCATTTATTTTTGCAGGCACTGGTCTACCCATTTATTTTTGGAGGCACCGGTCTATTCATTTATTTTTGCAGGCACCGGTCTACCCATTTATTTTTGCAGGCACTGGTCTACCCATTTATTTTTGCAGGCATCGGTCTACTCATTTATTTTTGGAGGCACCGGTCTATTCATTTATTTTTGCAGGCACCAGTCTACTCATTTGTTTTTGCAGGCACTGGTCTACCCATTTATTTTTGGAGGCACTGGTGGAACTGGGCCGAACGGGGGGGGGGGGAACCCACCACTGACACAGACCCATCTTTAGGATGTACAAAATAACAACATCCTGAGCCCCAATTTAACCTCTCTTGGGGACGATGGTCCATAGGGCAAGAGCTGCCTCCTGGGGTCTCACCAGACTTCCTAATGGGTGGGATCCAAAGCAGACCTTTTTTTTTGCTGTGCCTGTTGGGGTGGGAGAGGTTGTTAAAAAAAAGTGCCTTTAAAAAGCTCTGACGATCCCAGCTGAGCCGCGCGATCATTTTAAATATGCCTTTAAAAGTAAAAAAAAAGCCTTTGATGATTGCGCAGCTCAGCTGGGTATGGGGGGAGGGAGGTAGGGATTTTTGCTACCGGTTCTCAGAACCACCCGCCGTCATCGCTACCAGATCAGGCGATCCGGTCCGAACCGGGAGCCTGCCCTGGTGCAAATCAGAGAGGGTCCTGCAAATAACGGGGATCACCACCTTGAATAACGGGGTTCATTCTATTCTATTCTATTCTATTCTATTCTATTCTATTCTGTTCTGTTCTGTTCTGTTCTGTTCTGTTCTGTTCTGTTCTGTTCTGTTCTGTTCTGTTCCGTTCCGTTCCATTCCATTTTCTATTCTATCCCATTTTTCTATTCTATTCTGTTCTGTTCTGTTCTGTTCTGTTCTATCCCACTCCATTCCATTCCATTCCATTCCAAACAGGAGCCAGTTGCGAATTTTAATCACATGACCACATAGATGCTGTAATGTCATAAGTGTGAAAAACGGTTGTAAATTAGTGCCATTGTAACTTCGAATGGTCACTAAACGAACGGTTGTAAGTTGAGGATTACTTATATTGCCTCTCCTCCTCCTCCTCTTCCTTCTCCATTCTGTTTGCTTGCCAGTTTTACAACCTCCTCTTCTCCTGAAAGAAGGTGGACTGACCCTCCCGGACCACCATATCTAATCCAACCCCTTCCCACAAACTCCCCCCCCACCTTTGGTCCAATTTTGCCAGCCATCTGGGTCAGCCCTTGTCCCATTTGCCATTGTCACCCTGCCAGCCTCCCAACTTGGACGATGAAGAAATCCCCGTTTGTCCTGGAGACGGATGATGGCCTTGGAGAGGATCTGAACGCAGCCGCGAAGGGGGCAGCTGGGACGGAACATGGACCGCCACCCTTCGAGACCCCTTTCCAGAAGGAAGCCCCTCCCTCCCCCGGATTCGGGTGAATCTGAATTACCGGCCGGGACTCGTCAAGTAAGTTATTTATCACTGATACCGGTGAGAATTATTTTGCAGAATTTCACCACCAGAAAGAACGTTTGCGTTGATCTCTGTCAAAGGTTCATGGGTTGCTTTGAGGTCCAATGCAGGAATCTTGGACTTGGGCTTATCTTGGATTAGATGACCTACAAGGTCCCTCAAGACGGTGAACTCATCCGAGGTACCTTCCTCTTTCTATTTTCACCATGTTGGGTTGGCTGAGAGGGAGAGGGACTGGCCCAAAGTCACCCAACCAGCTTTCGTGCCTAAGGCAGGACTAGAACTCACCATCTCCTGGTGATTGGCTCAAAGGCACCGAGCCTTCCAACTATTATTAACCTTATCAACCTATTATTAATCTTCCAACTTTATTAATTCTATGAGCCAGCTTTCATGGTTAAGGTGGGACTAGAACTCACTGCCTCCTGGTGATTGGCCACAAATCACCCAACTGGCTTTCATGCCTAAGGTGCCTAAGGTGGGACTAGAACTCAGAGTCTCCTGATGATTGGCCCAAAAGCACCCAGCCAGCTTTCATAATAATAATAATAATAATAATAATAATAATTTTATTTCTATACCCCCTTCTCCCGAAGGACTCAGGGCGGTGTACAGCCTATTAAAAGCCCAAGACAAACATCAATTAAAATAATTTAAAATTATTAAATAATTCAGCTCAATTTAAAACCCCAGAAATTTAAAACACCCAATTTAAAATTATTATGTTGTTAGCCCGGCCTGGCGGAACAACAGGGTCTTGAGTGCACAATGAAATACCCGGAGGTAGGAGATCTTACGCATTTCTGGGGGCAGTTCATTCCACAGGGCTGGGGCTCCCACAGAGAAGGCCCTCCCCCTGGGTGTTGCCAGCCAACATAACTTGGCCGATGGCACCCTGAGTAGTCCCTCCCTGTGAGAATGAACTGGTCGGTGGGAGGCTATTGGTGGCAGAAGTCGGTCTCGAAGGTACCCGGGTCCTATGCCATGGAGCGCTTTAAAGGTGTGACCAACACTTTGAATCGCACCCGGAAGACCACCGGGAGCCAGTGCAGCTCGCGCAGGAGGGGTGTCACATGGGCACAACGAGTTGCACCCATAACCACCTGCGCGGCCGCATTCTGGACCAGTTGGAGCCTCCGAGTGCTCTTCAAGGGGAGCCCCATGTAGAGAGCATTACAATAGTCCAGCCGGGAGGTGACAAGGGCGTGAGTGACCGTGCGCAAGGCGTCCCGGTCCAGAAAGGGCTGCAACTGGCGAATCAGGCGAACCTGATAAAAGGCCCCCTGGCCACGGCCGTCATATGCTCTTCTAAAGACAGCCGTGCATCCAGGAGGACACCCAGATTGCGGGCCCTCTCTGTGGGGGGCAAAGATTCACCCCAATAGTCAGCAATGGCACCTGCTGACTATATCGGGACGCCGGAAGCCATAGCCACAGCCTTCTTATACAAGTGAGGGTTTGAGGCTGCAACAACAGAGTTGGGTAGAGCATTCCAGGTGTTGACCACTCTGTTGCTGAAGTTGTATTTCCTGCAATCAAGTTTGGAGCGGTTTGCCTTGAGTTTGTATGGATTGTTTGCCCGTGTATTATTGAGGTTGAAGCTGAAGTAGTCATTGATAGGCAAGACATTGTAGCAGACAATTTTGTGTACTACGCTTAGATCGGACCGCAGGCGGCACAGTTCCATATTGTGGATAGATGACCCTCACTCTGTCAAGGACCTTGGAGTACTCATTTCTAAAGATCTAAGTGCCCGAGCCCACTGTAACAACATTGCCAAAAAGGCATTAAGAGTTGTTAACCTAATCTTGCGTAGCTTCTTCTCTGGTAATGTTGTACTACTAACTAGAGCATACAAAACATTTGCTAGACCAGTTCTTCAATACAGCTCATCTGTCTGGAACCCGCACTGCATATCGGACATAAATACAATCGAGAGAGTCCAGAGATACTTTATGAGAAGAGTCTTCCATTCCTCTAACCGCAATAAAATGCCTTATGCCACCAGACTCCAAATTTTGGGCTTAGACAACTTAGAACTACGCCGACTTCAGTACATAAAATCATCTGCCACAATGTCCTACCTCTCAATGACTATTTCAGCTTCAACCACAACAATACATGAGCACACAATAGATACAAACTCAAGGTAAACCGCTCCAAACTCAATTGCAGAAAATATGACCTCAGCAACAGAGTGGTCAATGCCTGGAATGCACTACCTGACTCTGTGGTTTCTCCCCGAAACCCCCAAAACTTTAATCTTAAACTGTCTACTGTTGACCTCACCCCATTCCTAAGAGGTCTGTAAGGGGCGTGCATACGTGCACCAGCATGCCTACCGTCCCTGTCCTAATATTCCTTTTTACTTACTCTTTTCATGTATTCAAATTATGTTTATACTTTTACCTGTTATCTTATATATGCTTGACAAATAAACTTATGATTATGATTATGATTGTCAAGCCTAGTGGCATAAGGGATTCTGTTGTGAGTAGAGGAGTGGAGGACTCTTCTCGTAAAATACCTCTGGACCTGCTCAATCGTGTTAATGTCCGATATGCAGTGTGGATTCCAGGCGGATGAGCTGTATTCCCTTTAGAGAGCAAATGGACCGACCAGAGGAGTGAAGGACCGAATCCCGCCTGGATCCTTTTCCTTTCTCTTCTGCAGACCGGATGATCCAAATCGCTTCGACAGGGAACGTATTTTTCAAGCCGTGGTTGCGGGAGATCCTGAACTGCTTAACGGCCTAACTTATTATCTGCGGAAAACATCCAGCTTTCTCACCGACACTAAATATAGAGGTAGATCGCGTCTTGCTGACTCTCGTGCCTTTATGAACGAGTGTAAAAAATGGATAAGCTTCATAAAACTACCAACAGAAGAGTGCGGTCCTTGGTGCTCTATCAGCTTGGCGGTTTCCTTGAAGACGTTTCGTGACCCAGCTAGGTAACATCATCAGTGCTAGAAGGCAATGGGAGGGGGAGGGGGAGGAGGAGAGCAATGTGGATCATTTCTGAGCTTGGTGATTTTCTCAGGAACCAGTTAGGTAACGTCATCAATGCTAGAAGGGAGGAGGAGGAAGGGGAGGAGGACTGTGGGGTTATTGGTGGTTTTCTTGTCGACATTTCGTTACCCAGCTAGGTAACGTCATCAATGCTAGAAGGGAGGGGGGTTTGAAGAGAGGAGGATGAGGAAGAGGAAAATGACTGTGGAGTCCTTAGTGCTCTCTGAGCTTGGTGGTTTTCTTATAGACGTTTCATGACCCAACTAGATAACATCATCAGTGCTAGATGGGAGTATGGGATTTGCTCTCTGTTTATATACAGGGGCCTACAATAATAATAATAATAATAATAATAATAATAATAATAATATAATAATATAATAATAATAATATTAATAATATTATTATTATTATTATTATTATTATTATTATTATTATTATTATTATTATTATTATTATTTTATTTATATACCGTCCATTCTCCCGAAGACTCAGGGCGGTGTACAGTCAGAATTAAAATACAAATATACAAATATACAATATCTAGTTAAAATTAATTAAAATCATTAAATAGTTTTGGCCGAATTTTAAAACCCAAAATTAAAACCCAATTTAAAATCAATCAATTTGACAGCCCCGCCTGTCGGAACAGTAGGGTCTTGAGGGCACAGCGAAAAACCCGGAGGTCAGAAATGTTACAAATATCCGGGGGCAATTCATTCCAGAGGGCAGGAGCTCCCCAGCCTAATCAAGGAACCACCAAGAACATTCCCACCAACACTGACAGAGCAATCCAGTGGTATATATCCCAATGAATTCTGGGAGTTGAAGTCCACCCATCTTCAGGTGGCCAACGTGGAGAAACACCGCCTTAGGAAGATGGAAGACAGGGCGGGCATCACCCAAGCTTCCTTCCCTGGGCTTCTTTCTTCCAGATGGGAAGACAGGCAAGACCTGTTTGATGAAGGCCTTGCTCCATTTGAAAGACGGGAAGAACCCCACCATCCCTGAGCTTTTGAAGATAGACAAGGAGACCCAGAACCCCAAGTCTTTGGTCAACGCCGCTTGCACTGGCAGCTACTACAAAGGTCAGGCTCCTTCATGGGACGTTGAGGGTGGAGGACTCTGTTTTCTAGGGTGGGGTGGCTGGAAGGAGATCTTCAGTTGGGATAGGTTGGAACTTCCTTCCTTCCTTCCTTCCTTCCTCCCTCCCTCCCTCTTCCTGAAACTCAGCAGACTTTAGCCCAGCCAAATGATGATGATGATGATCTTCTTCTTCTTCTTCTCCTTCTCCTTCTCCTTCTCCTTCTCCTTCTCCTTCTCCTTCTCCTTCTCCTTCTCCCCCTCCTCCTCCTCCTTTCTCCTTCTCCTTCTCCTTCTCCTTCTTCTTCTTCTCCTCCTCCTCCTCCTCTTTCCTCCTCCTCCTCCTCCTCCTCCTCCTCTTCATCTTCTCTTCTTCTTCTCCTCCCCCTCCTCCCCCTCCTGCCCCTCTTCTCTTCTCTTCTCTTCTCTTCTTTCCCCCCTTCTCCTTTTCCTCTTGCAAGATCTTATGGGAATCCCATACTATTTTAGCCAACAAACTTGGTGAATCCTTATGTATTTAATCAATTTCAATGGCCACGTATGTTAACATAAAAACTTGTGTGGATTTCTGAATAGAGAGCCAGGGATGTGATCACAAAAGTCAAGATGGCCACCATCATCACAGAGGACCTTAAGAGGACAATTCTTTCCTTCCTTCCTTCCTTCCTTCCTTCCTTCCTTCCTTCCTTCCTTCTTCTTCCTTCCTTCCTGCCTGCCTGCCTGCCTGCCTGCCTGCCTGCCTGCCTGCCTTTTTCTCGCTTGCCACTCCTCCTTCCTTCCTCTTCATCTTAGTTCTTCTTCTTAGTTGTCACACATTGGCGGTTGTGACGCATAATTTAAGTGACAGGGAGCCGCAGCAGAGGGATGAAAGAGCCACATGTGGCTCCAGAGCTGCAGGTTGCTGACTCCTAATCTAAATTTTGGATATCCCTGATAAACCCTTCCATCTTTTCCGGTGCCATTTCTCCCCTTCTCTGCAGGCCACACAGCCCTCCACATCGCCATCGAGAAGAGGAATTTAGATCTTGTGAAGATCCTGGTGGAGAACGAGGCTGATGTCCACGTCAAGGCTTCTGGATGTTTCTTCCAGCCGCACCGCAAAGGGGCCTACTTTTATTTTGGTATGGCAGCAGGAGAAAACTCAGGTTTCATTCCACAGAGATACAAGTGGGTACCCATGGTGGTTTTGAGGGCCAAGCGAAGTTTTTAAAAGCCATGTGAGTTTTTTACATGAAACTCATCGAATTCGGTACTCAACACATTTTAACATGAAATTTGTACTCGTCATTTGTTTAGAATCAATTCACAAGTGAAAACTTGTAGGTGTCAGTTGCGTTGTGAATCATTACATTATTCCTTACGGGAAAAATTTGTTGTCTTCTTGGTACTCATCGTTTTTGGTACTCATCGCAGCTCCCCAATTAACAATGAGTATTGAGGTACCAATTAACAATAAATCAATTAACAATGAGTATTGAGGAAAGAACACAGTGGCTCAGTGGCTAAGATGCTGAGCTTGTCGATCGAAAGGTCGGCAGTTCAGCGGTTCGAAATCCCTAGCGGGGTGAGCTCCCATTACTTGTCCCAGTTTCTGCCAACCTAGCAGTTCGAAAGTAGGTAAAAATGAAAGTAGAAAAATAGGGACCCTTTGGTGGGAAGATAATAGCGTTCCGTGCACCTTTGGCATTGAGTCATGCGGCCACATGACCACGGAGACGTCTTTGGGACAGCGCTGGCTCTTCGGCTTTGAAACGGAGATGAGCACCGCCCCCTAGAGTCAGGAACGACTAGCACGTATGTGCGAGGGGAACCTTTACCTTTTACCTTTATTGAGGTACTATTTCAGTTGGAAAAGTTGAATTTCTGAGAATGGGTAAAATTGGGTAAGAAGTTCTCCTTAAAGCCAGAATATGGGTGGGTGGGGGGATATTTTGGCTGATTTTCAAGTTGTCCTCAATTTATAATAGTTCATTTAGTCACAGTTCAAAGCTACAATGGCACTGAAAAAAGGGACTTATGATAATTTTCACACACTTATGACCGTTGCAGCATCCCCATGGTCATGTGATCAAAATTTAGATACTTACTGGTTCATATTATGATGGTGACTGTGTCCTGGGGTCTCATGATCCCCTTTTGCGACCTTCTGACAAGCCAGATTCACTTAATGTATTCCTAACTAAACAACTGCAGTGATTCACTTATTGTTTAATTCGGTTTTATTTTGCTTTTAAATTTTGTATTTATGTGTTTTATCTTGTGGCTGTTCACCGCCCTGAGTCCTTCAGGAGTAGGGCGGTATATAAATCAAATAAAACTAAACTAAAAACTAAACTAAACTTAACAATGGTGGCAAAATTGGTAGCAAAATGGGGCAAGATTCACTTAACAACCATCTTGTTTAGCACAGAAATTTTGGGCTCGATTGTGGTTGTAAGTTGAGAGCTACTTGTAGCCATTATTCCATTGTCTCTCAACCTTGGCAATTTTAAGATGGGTGGACTTCAACTTTCAGAATTCCCCAGCCAGCATGGGTGACTTAAAGACCTGTGGACTTCAACCTTGGCCACTCGAAGACCTGCTGGCTGGGGAATTCTGGGAGTCGAAGTCCACAAGATTTAAAGACCTGTGGACTTCAACCTTGGACACCCAATAGACCTGCTGGCTGGGGAATTCTGGGAGTTAAAGACCTGTGGACTTCAACCTTGGTCACTTGATAGACCTGCTGGCTGGGGAATTCTGGGAGTCGAAGTCCACAAGATTTAAAGACCTGTGGACTTCAACCTTGGACACCCAATAGACCTGCTGGCTGGGGAATTCTGGGAATTGAAATCCACAGGTCTTACAAGTGGCCAAGGTTTGACACCTCTGATCTAGATACTCAATGCAACCTTGGCCCATCGTCTCCTCTCTTCCAGGTGAACTTCCTCTGTCCTTGGCTGCTTGTACCAACCAGCCAGAGGTGGTCATGTACCTCCTGGATAACCCTTACCAGAAGGCCAGGCTGACCGAACAGGATTCCATGGGCAACACCGTCCTCCATGCGCTGGTGATGGTGGCCAACGACATGGAGAAGAACACCGAGCTCGTGGTCAACATGTACGAAATGATCTTGACGAAAGGGGCCGAGATTGACCGTTCCTGCAAATTGGAAGAGATTGTCAACCTGAAAGAGCTGACTCCTTTGAAGCTGGCTGCCAAGACTGGGAAAGTTGAGGTAATCTCTCTCCTCACCAGAATTCGCCGTCCTCAATTTACAACCATTTGCTTAGGAACCATTTGAAGTACCAATAACAGAGAATATGCTTGCCTATGTCTAGAACCAATAAACTCCAGAGAACCTATCCTAACCTGTTATGTGGATGCTGACTGGGCTGGGGACACAAAGAGCAGGAAAAGTACCTCTGGCTACATATTCTTCATCAACAACTGTCCGGTGCATTGGTATACCGGAAAGCAAAATTTGGTAGCTACATCCACAGCAGAAGCAGAGTACATCTGTCTGTCAAAAGCAGCCAACAATTTAACATGGTTCAATGACCTGCTTTCCAATATCTGGACTGAACCAGCCTACCCAATAATTATACATGAAGACAATAAAGCGGCTATAGACATATCCACGGCGGACGCCGTGGGTCAAAGATCAAGACATATAGATATCAAACACAAACACATTAGGCAATTATCATTGGCTTCCTCAAAGCCATACCCTGTGAGACTGTTGAACAAATTGCGGACATCCTGACCAAACCCTTACAGAACAAACAACATGCTTATCTAACTTTGAAATTAGGTGTACATATGCAACACACACACATCTCCAACTGTTAGGCATTTAGAGGGGGATTTGTTACAGACAAATGCCTAACACTGTGCACCCATGGCAGGGCAAGGGTTAACACTATCCATCCCACCTAGTCCTTCCGTTGACCCCTCCTCACCTTGACTCCGCCTCCCAGGTATATAAGGTATTGTCCAAGAGTCCAGCGCCATTCCAGATGCTCACCTGTAAGAGATAAGTAAGATGTGAATAAATACCTTTTGAATCAAACTTACCCTGCATTGGAGTTATTGGGCTAGATCCTTGAAACACGTAACAGAATGGTAGCAGAGGATGGTTTTCAGCCCAATTAACCCAAGATATGCAAGGAGCCCCCAAAGTGCCTGAAACGAAGGGGAGACCAAATACCCGAGCATTCACAAAGAGAATGGCGGCACAGTCATCTTCTACAGAAACCATGCCAAGAGAGACAGTGGACGAGAATGAGCAGACCTCCAACCAGGCACCCCAACTTTATTTTACAGTAAGAGTGTGGTCACCACCACCAGAATCTCTAGAGAGTTTCACTCAGCTAGGCATAAGGCTGGGACATCTATGGGTGAGCACATCCTAAACTTGAACGCCACCAGGGCTGAACTGATATAGAGAGGGGAAGCCATCTCTGAGGAAAGTATGAAGAGTATAATTATTAACTCACCAGACTCTAGTTGGGACAATTTCATAACACAACTAGATAGTCTCAGTCTAGAACACCTCACCCTAGAGACACTCACGAACAAACTAAGAGCTGAAGATAGCCTGAGAAGAGACCGCTCCATATGTCGCAGAGATAACAGGCCAGCGAAAAGGGTTGAGTTCTAAACCAGGAACCACAACACCCCAGAGTGCTTCATATGCGGTTCCAGGAACCATTATAAGAGGGACTGTCCCAGAAACACAAGGGATAGGGATCACTCCCACCGCAGGGATAGGCAAGGCCGGAGGACAGGGTTCACTGACAGACAATAGGTACAGACGCAGGGACTCCCCCAATCCGAGAGACAGGAGAGGACAAAGAGACAGTTCCAGGGAAAGCCAATCAGGGTCACTGTATGGCCTTGGAGATCGCAAACATACACACACACAGATAAGTGAAGGAAATGAGTGGCTCATAGATTCAGAAGCCACCGATCACACCATTTACAATAGAAAGCTTCTCACATCATTCACAGAAGAAAATTACCACATCAAGGTAGCAAACCAGGATAGGGTCCTAGTGACTGGAAAGGGAGACACATACATAAATGGAATAGGCAAAATAGAGGGGGTATTACTCATACCCGAAATACCACACAACATATTAGCCACACTTAAACTAAGCAAGGATATGGGTATCGAGACTATGTTGAAGGGAGGAAAGGTTTATATGACCAAGAACAAGAAGGACATTGGCAAGATCATTATCAATGGGGGGCTAACATACCTCCAACCCGAAGGGGATTGCCAATCAAGCATAAATGCTCACCTAGAAAGCAAAGAAAGCGAGATGGATGCCTCTGAAGAGGTAGAGGGGGATAAGACAGACGACGCCACAAAAGATGAACACACTCACGATACAACACACAAGGGGAAACTGTCTATTGGCAAGCCTATACATGATAACTGTGCCCACTTACTTCACAGGAAGTTGGGTCATGCTAGCTTTCCAGTCATTCAAAAAATGATCGACTGTTCCAATGGTTTGCAAGTAAAGAGCTGTAAAAACTACCTCGAGTGTTCCGTGTGCAAATGTTCCAAACTCAAGACCAAACCCAAACCAAAGAAGGCCACACACACCACCAACTCCATTTTCCATTTAGTACATATGGACTTAGTGGGCCCCATGAAGCCCTCTATAAAATACAAAAAAAGTTCTTCTTGACCATAGTGGAGGATTTCAGTCATTATGGGTTTGTGTATATGCTCAACCATAAAAATGAAGCATTCCAGAAGTTTAGAGAGTTTTACAAAAGGGTAGAAACACAACACAACACTAAAATAAAACAAATAATGACGGATAGAGGGTCTGAATTCCTATCAAGGGATATTTCGAATTGGTTAAAGGCGCATGGGGTATTGCATTTTACTTCTTTGCCATTTTCCGCATTTCAGAACGGAGTAGTGGAATGAAAAAATGGCGTCTTGCAGACTATGATGAGGTGCGTGTTAGAAGACGCAGGGCTAGGGCAGTCTTTCTGGGCTGAGGCACTCACGTACTCTAACTATACCCTAAACAGACTGTGGTCTAGTGTAGTAGGTAAGACCCCTTTTGAAATAATGTACAGCAGAAAACCCCAAATAGCGCATCTACACATATTTGGGGTCACAGCAGACGTGCATATCCCAAAACAGTGAGACGCAAGGGGCGACAAAGTCTCGAGAAGATTGAAATTCATGGGGTATGAATCTGGGACAAAAGGATACAGATTCATAGACAAAGACAATAAATTTATCATATCCAGGACAGCGGTGTTTCACAAAAACACCAATTGGTCAAAAATACACCTCAATGAAGTATTCCCCAGGCAGGAAATCACAAACAATGTAAGGGATGAGGATAAGCAAGACACAGTAGAAACCAAAACACACAAGAGACACAAACCTAGACACCAGGGGGTAACTACCAAAGAGTGGAAAGAGGACCATCCCATCATAAAGATAGACACACTGACAAAAAGGGAAGCCAGATACATTTTATTTTTTATTTTTTATTTTATTTTTCAATTTATATACCGCCCTTCTCCCTGAGGACTCAGGGCGGTGCACAGCCAGAATTAAAAACATGAAATACAAATATTAAAAACAATTAAAATCTATATAAATTTGGCCCAAAATTTAAAAAACCACAAACCAATTAAACATTTAAAAAAATTAAATTTTTTAATTTACATGCATGACACAGAGACACAACCAAACCGACCCATTAGATCCAACAGAAATAAGACCCCAAAAAGATTTGAGGATTACATCCTATCAATACACACAAACAAGACAACACCCAACTCATACGAAGAGGTGCTCAGACTGCCACAGGAAGAAAGGATTAGGTGGGAACAAGCCATGGAGAAGGAGATGGCCAGCTTGAGAGAACTAAATGTATATACTCCCTCTAAGGCCCCAACCGACAAAGCACCCATTGGGACGTAATGGGTCTTTAAAATCAAGGAACTAGAGGACAATAAGACAATATAAAGCCAGACTAGTAGCTCAGGGGTTTGCACAGAAATACCCTGATGACTATACAGACACTTACTCACCCACAGTTAGGGCCGAAAGCGTCAAGAGTGCTCTGGTAATAGCATCCATTCTAGGCCTCGAAGTATACCAATTTGACGTAGAGACCGCCTATCTCCACGCAAAACTTCCGGCTTGTCCCAGGATGGTGGCGGTCGGCTGAGCTCCGCTGAGGAGATGGAGAGGTTGCTGGTGTCAGGGGTCTTCGGGAGCCCTTTTAACTATCTCTGGCTCCAGTCCTGATGAGGGGAATGCTCGCCCTCCCTGCTGAGGGCTTTTTCGCCCTCCGGAATACCATGGCAGGGCAGGACTCGCTGTTTGATGCCGCTACGGGAGATGGGGCAACGGCCTGCTGAAACAGCTGTTTCCGGCTTGTCAGCACCGGGAGGAGTGGAGGCTGGAGCGTTCGGTGGCGGTCGGCGTTTCTGTGCGGCGGCGGCGGCTTGGAGGTGCCCTTCATCCCCCTTGCCCCTCAGGGATCTCTGGGACGCTCTCTGGACATTTTTTTGGGGGTCCTGGAGGTGCCATGGGGAGCCCAGGGTGCTGGTTGCGAGCCGGCGACGGCGGCAGTGGCGGCGGCGGTGGAAGGCAATGGCTGCCACGGATCATCCGGCTGAAGAAAGAGCTTGCAGTAGGTGGCTGGGGGAATACGGACAGCCTTGCCCTCAGGATTACCATCTGCTCTTTTTTGAGCCATGACCCCTATTATCCGGGTTTTTGTCATCAGTGCTGAGACTGGGGATTTGGGGAGATTTGGGGCAGGAGAGGCAGGAGGCTGACCAGGGCTCTATTGGTCGCCTCGGGTGGCTTCTCCTCCCCCTCTTCTTCCCCCAGGTATGGGTGGGTGTTGGCCTTTGATGGCCACCCACCCTTGGACTTGGACTGGGTTCTTTGTCTGCTATCCCTACTCTCGCCCCAGGGAAGAACTTGTGCCTGTGGAATTATCACCATTGTCTTTAATAACTTTACAAACTGCTGGCTTCTTGTGCGACCCCAAACTGGAGGAGAACTGGGCAAAACGGTGTGCAGGTGCTGAGGGGGCTGTTTGTCATCCGCCAGATGAAAGGATGGACTATTGTGACTTCATTGTCGGTGTCATCTGGCCCAGTCACTGTGAGAGGGTGACTGGGATAATTATCCTCCAGACGTGGGGGGATGCCACTGGCCCCTTTCACTGCCGTGAGAGGGCAGTGAACCAGCTCCTGATATGAAGATCTACTTTGACCCAGTATTATTGGACGATCTGGTGAAGCCCTGACCAGTTGACTCTCCACCTCTGTTTTGTGCGATGTTTACGGCTGCTGACCTGCT